CCCCAAAACCCCAAAACCCCAAAACCCCGATATATCGAAATATGCTAAGTCAGATTAAATTTATAACTTGAAAAACATGATTAATCTGTAAGCAGCTCCTTATATCTTTACTCGCTGATAAATATACAAAAGAATATCATCATTCTACTTTATTATTTTTTCTATTCTTAAATTCATCACTGTTCTTATCCCTGCATAGTCCTAATTTTCTAAACACCACTCTAGCTGTTTTAAGGAATGGGTATAAGAACCATTGAGTATTACTCAAAGATGCCAAGTATTCATTTTCATATTCTTGCATAAATTCCTCCATCTTTGAATAATCTGGTTTATCCTAATACAACCCTCCCAATTTGTTGGCGAAGATATTCTTGCTGAAATTCTTCTCTTTTAGTGTTTGCTGCGCGATCTCTTTATATAATCCAGTAATTAATGCTTTATCCTCTAAGGTTACTGCCTATTTCTCAGCATCAGTCACTGTTTTCTTCGCCTCCTCAGTATCGCCTATTTTCAAAAAGTTCTACACCTTTCTTGTCCATGCCTTGAAATTTTCTGGGTCAACTTTAAGTACTTAATCAAGCATTTGATTAGATCTCATAAATTTGTTTTACTTAATGAGACAGAGTGCAATATTATTAAGAATGGGGGCTTTGAGATCTTTATTGACACGTTCTTCTTAGTCCTCATCCTGTTTTCCAAAGTCCATACCACACAGAGCTTTCAAGTAAGTGTCTATAGCCTAGTCGTATATTCCCTTCTTAAAAATTTTGTTTCCTTCCTCACGTTGATTGTTCACCCATTCATATTTTTCCTCCCAGTTTTTTCCACTTAATTCTATTGCAACTTCTTACCCTAATTTCTAAACATTGGTCTGTGTCAAGAATTCATCTTTCTCCCTGTAAAAATAATAAAGATTTATTTATTGAGAATATTTGGCATATTTCTGAATGGTAATAATCTTATTTGTACATTTTCAAATATTTTTCTTTGCCTACACTGTCTCTATGTACTTTATGAATCTCAAATCCTTCTGCTTATCCTTTGACTAAGTTATGTAGTTCATCCATTTTGCTTTATTTATATTTTATGATTTATGTTCTATTCTTTAATTTCAATTTTATAGTTTGTTGGGGTTTTGGGGTTTTGGGGTTTTGGGG